ATTCCCCGAGCTGCATGAGCTGTCCAGTGTGAAGGGGCTTCGACTTTTGCATAACAGAGGTCTCCCAACAAGGCTCTATTTTAAATTATAAATAAAATATGTACTGATTGCAAAATGGTTTACCAGGCTGCTAATTGGCAGATTTGAAATCTGAGTGAGACTTGGTCCCAGGGTGTGGCAGGTCTTTGTCCTGCCTTTTCAGTACTTGTTGCCCACGAGCATCTCCATGGTACTCGGCTGGTGACTCTAGTTTTGTTTTAGCTGTAAATTAGTGACAGCTTCAATTGTGAGTTAGTAGTGGCTTAAGATAATACATTTTTGCGAACCACAATTCAAACAGGGCTTTCTAAGGGCAAGAAAACATTGTTTCACTCATCTTGTCCTCCCCTGGTACCTGGAAGGCCTTCTGATTAGAGCAGTACAAATGAGTGCATGGGGGCTGGAGAGATGGCTCAGTGGTTAACACTGGTTCTTGCAGAAGACCTGGGTTCAAATCCCAGCACCCACATGGCAGCTAACAACTATCCATAACTCCAGTCCCAGGGAATCCGATGGCCTCTTCTGTCCTCCGCGAGCATTGTACGACACAGGTGTACTTACCTACATGCAGGCAATACACTCATACACATAAAAATAAAAATAATAAATAAAATATTTTTTAAAAATGAGTGCACTGCCGGTGAATGAATGAATGGTGTGGTGGGGTATTAGCATATGTTCAGTTGACACTGATGCTGAAAGAACGCTCCTTGAGCTCTGTGGTTTCCAGAAGCCTTCTAGCTTATCTTCAAAGGTAAGTACAAGGAAGTGGGGCCCATTTCCCCGGGATTCTGAAGGAACTTGGATTGAGGAGTTCCTCAGAGTCTGTTAGCAAGTTAACTTTGGCAACAATCAGCTGCTAAACATTTTGTTTCCTGTCTGAGGGTCTTAAAAAGAAGAGCTTAAACACACATCTGGATTATTGGATTCTGTATTGGTTTAGAAGCCAATTTAATAATAAGTAAATAACTTGAACACTTCCTAAGATGTTTTTAATTTCATTCTTCGAGATTTAGATGAACTCAGATTACTGTTTCCTCCAGTTTAAAAAGAATTTGTTTAGGGAGATGGGTGTATTTGCATATATGCAAGCATAGCACTTGTATACATAAAAATAAATTTTCAAAAAGTTTTAAATAAAAATTTTAAAAAATAATTTGTCTCAAGGCCATCAGGATAGCTCAGCAGATAAATGTGTGCTTCCTGTGCAAGTCTATTGACTTGAGTTTGATCCCCAGAACCCGCAGGAGGTAGAGGTACAGTTTCTGAAAGTGAAAGTTGTCCTTTGATCCCATATGCAGTGATCCCACACACGTGTGCACACACAAAATTTTAAATTTGTTCAATAATGTAAAGGAAAGCAGGGCCCATTGACTCATAATTCTAGCACTTGGGAGGCAGGAGGATTGTATGAATTTGAGGCAAGCCTGGGCTACAAAGTGACAGCCAGTCTCAAAACAAAGCCAGGGATGTAGTTCAGTTGGTAGAATACAAATGTGCCACATTAAATTGGGCATGGTGGCACAAGTCTGTAATCCCAGCACTAGGGAGGTAGAGGCAGGAGGATCAGAAGTTCAAGGTCATCCTTAGCCACATAGCAAGTTCCAGGCCAGTTTGGGCTACATGAGACCCTGTCTCAAAGTAAAAAGGAATAATGGCAAAATTATTAAATATGTGACTTAACCTGAACTATGAGGTGCAAAGAAAAAATTTAGCTACAGAGCAATATACTAGAATAAACACTTCTTTTAAGATTGTGGGGCTGGTGAGGTGGGTCAGAGTAAGGTAAAAGTGCTTGCCTCCAAGCCTGATTACCTGTTTGATCCCTCAGACCCACATGGTGGAAGGAGGAATCAACTGCAAGTTGTCTTTTGACCACCACATGCATGCACACGCACACACAAAATAGTGTAAATTGAAGCCAGTTCAGTTTAGATAGGAAGTTCTAGTCTCACATAGTGAGACTCTTACTTTTTCTCTCTCAAAAAGGGAAGGGGAGCACTGGAGAGAGCTCAGCAGTTAAGAGCTCTTGCTGTTCTTCCAGAGGACTTGATTCAGTTCCTAGCACCCAAGTTAGGTGATTGTGAGTGGCTCACAATCACCTGTAACTACAGCTCCTGGGGGTCCAACCCATCTATCACACACATGCAACACACACACACACAAACAAATGAATAACAGATAAATCTAAGGGGGGGGCGGCTGGAGAGATGCCTTAGTGGTTAACAGCACTGGCTGCTCTTCCACAGACTCAGGTTCGGTTCCCAGCACCCATATGGTAGCTGACAACCATCCATAACTCCAGTTCCAGGGGACACAATGCCCTCTTCCCTCCATGGGCATTGCATGCATGTGGTGCACTCACATACATGCAGGCAAATCACTCATACACATAAAAATAAAAAAAAAAAACACATTCAAAGTATGT